TTGCCATGGCAACAGGAAAGCTGCAAAGGCCTGGTGAATAACAATGGGCAGGCTGGTGGTGGAGGGAACAAAAGGAAAATCTGTTTGTGTATCCCCAAGACACATACAGGGTGTTTATTGTCTGCATCTGTGAGGTTCATAACTGCATTCAGATGCTAATTTAATCCGCAAAGAGTAGAACCAGGTGTTTGGTTGAAAAGGGAAAGGGAACATTTTATATGTCTATATTTAAATGTCTGCACATGTGCGTTTGCGTACATTTAATACGGGCTGTAGTTCAGCCGTGTACGTTGAAGCTTGCAGGTCATGGAGGAGCATGCTCAGTTTATATGCGTTGATAAGAGATCATCATCAGCACGTGTGTTTGTCTCCGAATGAACAGTGACCAATCAAATGTGAGCTATGAGGTTTTTTGGAATGCCACCAAAATAATGGCTGCCTATCATGATATTACATTTATTTATTTCAGGTACTTATATAGCGCTGTCAATTTACGCAGCGCTTTACATATATATTGTACATTCACATCAGTCCCTAACCCTCAAGGGGCGTACAATCTAAGGGGCTCGTTCACACTTGACTGTTTTACCAATGCTTGCCTAATGCCCCTGTAGCGTTTGGCAAGCGCTGGTCTGGCGTTTGCGGAGCGTTTTTTTAACGCTCTGCAAACGCTGCATGAGTGGTTTAGCGGTGGTTGCTAGGCATTTGCCGAGCGTTAAAAACGCCCCACAAACGCCTATAATGAAGTTTGAATGGTGTTACCGCTCCGCAAACGCCGCGCAACTGCGCTGCAACCGCCCCATAAATGCCTATAATGAAGTTTGAATGGTGTTACCGCTCCACAAACGCCCCACAAGTGCATCGCAACCGCCCCACAAATGCCTATAATGACGTTTGAATGGTGTTACCGCTCCGCAACGCCCCGCAACTGCGTCGCAACCGCCCCATAAATGCCTATAATGAAGTTTGAATGGTGTTACCGCTCCACAAACGCCCCGCAACTGCATCGCAACCGCCCCCACAAATGCCTATAATGACGTTTGAATGGTGTTACCGCTCTGCAAACGCCCCGCAACTGCGTCGCAACAGCCCCACAAATGCCTATAATGAAGTTTGAATGGTGTTACCACTCCGCAAACGCCCCGCAACTGCATCGCAACCGCACCGCAAACGCCGGCCGGGCGTTTGCGGAGCGGCACCATAGACTAGAATAGAAGGCTTCAACGCTTCCTGACTCGACCAGAGGTGTCCATTTTGCCGCAACGCGACACTAACGCTCCCGTTAGAACAGCACCATGTGCTGCAATGTGCAGAATTGTCAGAGGCGTTTGGGAAGCGGTAAAAACGCTTCCCAAACGCCTCTCTGCCGCCTGCACACAACGCTAGTGTGAACGTAGCCTAAGGTCCCTAACTCACATTCATACATACACACACTAGGGCCAATTTAGACAGGATCCAATTCACCTACCAGCATGTCTTTGGAGTGTGGGAGGAAACCGGAGTACAGGCACAGGGAGAGCATGCAAACTCTGGGCAGGAAGTGCTGTGGCTGGGGTTTGGACCATGTGCTGCCATGTCAAAGCCCTCCACAGGATTTACCCCCCTTCCTGACCAGACTATTTTTTGGCGTTACGGCGCTGTGTTACTTTAAATGACAATTGCATGATTTCAAAGCAGCATTCAGCCTTGGTTTCGCATATATGCAGTGCGGTATATCGCATGTGATTCGCACAGGAACCGCACCGCTTTCCTGTGCAAATCAGATGCGATTTGTGTGTGCGGTGCGATCAGAGCCATACAGTTTGTATGGCTAATTGCACCGCATCCGCACCAAAAAGGTGCAGGACCCTTTTTTGGGTCTGCACTAGAATCGGATCACATGGGTATTCACACCTATGCGATCCGATTCTGCAAATCGCACTGCATTTTGCGGACCGTTTTTGGGATGTTGTTAATTTAACATACACACCCGCAACAGTTCGCATGAACGGGGTGCGATTCTGATGGGGTGGAATGCTCACAGAAAACGCTGCAAATTCCGCACCACATCAGTGTGAACCAGGGCTGAGTGTGAACCTATATTCCATAAACAACATACGATTATATAATAAAGTACCAGCAGCTATGTACCACTTTCTGCCAAAAAATGTGCATTTATTTTTTTTTGTAAAAAGATGAACTTATCCTTTTAAAAGGAAAAGGAGAGCATCAGGCTGAGGAGAGCCATCATTGGGCATACCGAGGAGTGTTGACCATAGTCTGTTTAAAGGGACACACGCATTATATGACTGAACACTTAGTGGGAAGTCAAAATGCTAAGGTGAGAGTATACCTGGTGGCGGTGTTACACAGTGTGGTTGACGAATCACGGAGGTGGAAATAGCATTTGGCACACCAACACCTTTTGAAGTACTGTTCAAATTTATATAATATATTTGCATCCTAGCCTAAAGAGCAGTTTTATCTTTTTTCTTTAAATAATTGCATCCACCTCTTCCCCTAGTGCTGCCAACTAGGCCTTGTATTTACCGTCAGCCCTGATGGGAAAACCCTTCTCATAGCCGCCTAAGGCAGTTACTTGGAGTATTTGGAGTTTTTGCTGGTGTTAGAACCTCTGGTAGGCTTCCTGAACCAGGAAAACTATAACTTCTTGATACAATGGTTAAACAGGACACCCATTAGGCCTATGTAGTACTCCATTTTTCTCTGCATGGTTTTGGTAGTTGGTTGAGGATGACCCCGTAGATGATGTGACAGGCTAGTATTTCACATCTCTAGGTGGAATCCTTGATTTATTCTGGGGTGAAAAAAAGGTTGGGCAACAGTCACTTTAGTTTTTAATTGTCTATTATGCCCCATAAACTCTGGAAAGAGAATTAGGGCACTGGATGCCCCAAAATAGGGAAATAGCTAATTTCTTTAACTTTGCATAATGTCGTTGTCCTTTTAAGAGCAACCAAGCAGATAAATAACTCTGGGAGAGCAGTCAATGTCTGTTGTTATAGGCCAGTATGAATCTTCCTATTTCCCTGTAACACTACCCCCCTTGAGGGTTGCTAAGAGAATTTGGGTCTCCCTATAGTCCTGCACAGCCAGTCATTAAGTTGACAGAAATCAGTCCTTTAGCATTTGTTTTGTTATTTTATTAAGGGGATTAAAACTTTGATAGGGTAAGGGGTGTAAAGGATGCCCAAGGGAATCAAAATCTAAGGACAACTTCCTAAACTATTCACAACTTCTTTTCTGTGACACCATGGAGTGCTAGCCAGCAGCTCTAGTTGTTCCACCCCAGACTCTGGATGAACTCCTCTTCACCCAGAAATCTGGGGACTTTCTTCTTGAGCAGGGAATCTGGCTCCTGTTCTTTTTAAATGGGTAACAGGCACTAGCAGAGGGCTAACCTGGTTTCTCACCAGAGTGCTCCTTCCCCTATCTGCCCAGTGGGTATAAGTGTACTCACTCAGATCCTCTCCTGTACCACTTGCTTCTGCTACCAGACCTGTCAGATGGGCTGCTCCTTCCCTGCTATACAGGTGGTCCTCTCTCAGGGGGCTAGTGAATCCCGAGTCTTCCTCCTTTCCATCTCCAGGCTCTCAGGCAGGCTTCATCCCACTAGGCCTTCTGGCAGTCTTCTTCCTCCAGCCTCACATCTTCCGGCTTTAACCCTTTGAGGACCAAGGGATGTAGTTGTCCCATGTTTTTAATTGCGTGTGTCATCTGATTAAGAACCTAAAACTCTTTTTTTTTTGGGGTTTGAATCAAAATATTAGTTCTTATCAACAAACAACAAATGGGTCTAGCTTTTTGCCAATTATTTCATGAAATGGCTTAGTTACAGCAACTGAAGAGTACGAACTTTAAAAACAAAAAAATTTATTCTTTTGGCGTTCCGTAATCTTATGGTCCTCAAAGGGTTTAAACTACTCTCTCACCACCACACTCCTGCTACTGAGCAGGCTCTTCCACTTTTAAGGTAGTCCCAGCCCTTGCCAAGCCTTGTTGTAGGCAGACATTTTCAGATGCACCCACTGCCTTCAAGGCCCTCCTCGAAAGCCTCCGAGGAGGGGGAAAATTCCAGAGGGACTGACCTGAAGAGTTTCTCAGTCCTGACCAGAATTTGACCCCTCTAGCTATCTCACCTGAGCTGCTAACCAGATCCTCACTAACCATTAGGATCTAGTTCCCTCTAGCTAATCTAGGAGGGTGCTACACTCCAAAATAAATTCTAGACCTTTAACCTTATGTGAGTTTCACAGTATCTTCTATCCAGCTCTCCAGGACACTTTTCAAGCTTTCTGTTCAATACAGGCAATCATTGTTCTGCCAGTTTGCTTATATATGTAACAATAGGCCCTGTAGTTCTGCAATCAGCAAAGCTCATGCTCCCTGCTGATTGGAGAATTCTAGCTATAAAGTTGGCCATAAATAACTAGTTTTTTTTTTTTTTAAACGAACCAGCGAGCTGCTAAAAAAAAAACCCTGAATAGATTCCCCCATCCACATAAGCGAGGTGGAGGGGGGATTCCTACCCTCTGTGATATTGTATTCTGACAGTGAGGATTCCTCTACTTCACAATACACTAATCAGTGCTGCAGCTGATTGACTGCAGTGCTGATCGTATGAAAATTCACCAACAGTCCAGCTCCAGAGGAATCAATCAGTAGATTGACTCCTCTTGAACGGGAACAATCATTGATGGAGCCTAGCTCGTCCAGTTTCTTGAACCAGACAAACTTTGGTCCATCTCTGACCAGCTTTGTTCAGCAAGTAAACATGTTGGACCTTTCCAAAGAGACCACTGCTTCCATACAGAGACAAAGGGTGCTTCTCTGCAGCATGCTGATAGAGGACAGGCTTTTAATTATAAAAGTACACATCTTTTGTTCTGATGCATCTAAAATGTACTTACCATATTTTTCGCTCCATAAGACGCACCTGACCATAAGACGCACCTAGGTTTTAGAGGCAGAAAACAGGAAAAAAAATTCTGAACTAATGGACTGCAGACATAGTACAGGAGATGACCAGAGACTGCGGACACAGTACAGGAGATGACAGAGACTGCGGACACAGTTCAGGGGATGACCAGAGACTGCGGACACAGTACAGGAGATGACCAGAGACTGCGGACACAGTACATCAGCGGACACAGGAGATGACCAGAGACTGCGGACACACAGTGACCAGGGATGACAGTACAGAGACTGCGGACGGACAGTACAGGGATGACCAGAGATGAGTACAGGAGACTGCTGCGGACACAGTGCAGGGGATGACCAGAGACTGCGGACCCAGTACAGGGATGACCAGAGACTGCGGACACAGTACAGGGATGACCAGAGACTGCGGACACAGTACAGGGATGACCAGAGACTGCGGACACAGTACAGGGATGACCAGAGACTGCGGACACAGTACAGGGGATGACCAGAGACTGCTGACACAGTACAGGGGATGACCAGAGACTGCGGACACAGTACAGGGATGACCAGAGACTGCGGACAGTACAGGAGATGACCAGAGACTGCGGACACAGTACAGGGATGACCAGAGACTGCGGACAGCACAGGGATGACCAGAGACTGTGGATAGTACAGGGGATGACTGCTGACCTTTGGGGAGGGGGGGGAGCGGGTACCTGAATTTGACAGATACCCGCTCCCACTTCCGCGGAGTTGTTCTTTCATCTTACCTGTTCCTCTATCCAGCCGCGCGCTGTCTTCCCGGCTTCAGTAATGGCGCTCGGCATGACAGCCGGGTGCCCAGTGCGCTTGAGCGAGAAGCACTTGCGCTTTGTGATTGGTCCGGCGGCTTCTGGGATCTGTCATGTGTCCCAGGTGCCGCCTTACCATTCACAAAAAGCACCTCTTCCTGCGCATGCGCACTTGGCACCCGGCTGTCATGCCCACACTACAGAAGCCGGGAAGACCGCGCCGCTGGATAGAGGAACGGGTAAGATGAAAGAACAACTCCACGGAAGTGGGAGCGGGTATCTGTCAAATTCAGGTACCCGCTCCCCCCCCCCTCCCCAAAGGTCAGCAGTCATCTCTATAAGGTCCCGCTGTAGAGCTGAGCGACCGGCCCGGTATTCTGACACGGCAGTGGAAATACCGGACCGGCCGCTCCATATTCGCTCCATAAGACGCACTGACATTTCCCCCTTTTTTGGGGGGGAAAAAAGTGCGTCTTATGGTGCGAAAAATACGGTTGATTCCAACTGAAGGTTTAGTTGGGCTTTAATTCAACACTGACAATTATCATGTGATTATAAAAGGAAGATTGTCCTACACCAGGTTATAGGCTTAAAGTTTTACTAAACCCAGGACCCTGCATTCACTATATCCAGTCTCCCACAGTACACAGAACATTGAAATGCAATTATTTTAGTAAATATGAACTGCTAAATATCTTTTCTCACCAGTATTCTTGTGACTTATATCAGTGTCCAGTAGAGCACTGATTAATCTTGTAGGAGGAGTTTTCTTTTTCTTCGTTTTCTTCTGACTGTCCTATGAAGCTGCATGACCCCTGACCCTCTGACTGGACAGTGTTGATTGGCCCTATGCCGATCACTTACACCCTCCCAAATAAAAAAAAACTCTCTAGCCATAAGCTCTAAACTGAGCATGTGCAGAGTGTCTCCTAGAGCTCTGTGCTATCAGCAAACCGATTGGGAACAGTAGAAGAAGGGGAGAGTCAGAGAAGACAGGATCAAGCAGCCTTTTTATGCAATGCAGAGGATTAACCCCTTGGGTTTCACAGAGTATAACAAGCATGCTTTACTGCATATACAGACTGATTTTACTGTTGTGGGTTTAGTAACATTTTAACTGTGAGAAACAGAAAGTAAGTGAAATCTATGTGTGAATTTCAACACAAACAGCAGCAGATAGGATTGCACAATAACGTTTACTAAAATACTTGCAATACACTGTAGGTTCCTGTCTTACAAAAGTTTGATCTATTATCTGCAAAAGTGGCCTTGCACTTTAAGTTATAGAGACAAACTTAAAAAATAAGGTGACTGTTGAGAACCCTGCTGTGTTCTTTACAACAACCATTATTCTCTGTCTTCTTTTAGTAGCACTTTGATTTAAGGTGGAAAATGATGGCAGCAATAGTACAGGAGTCCCACTTGTGATTTAGCTGGCAATGCAAACCTTTCATAAAATACTAAACTGTCTTAGTGTTACCAAACCAAACTGACTTGGCCGTTTGGTGTACTACACAAGGATTTTTTATCAATAGCTGGGTATTCAACTAAAAGTATAACTAAGGCAAAACTTATTTTTTAAATTTTGGGCAGAGTGGGGATGGATCAGAACACCCATTTTCACTGGTTTTTACTGCAGTCTGTGCCCCATTAGGAAAACCACAAAAATTTGGGTTGTCCCCAGAAAAGTAATAGAGGGGACATCTTCCAATGGGGACACTAGTTCTGGTGACCTGGGGGTCCCCAAGGAATTTCCTTCATTTGCAGGAATTTGCACTTACTTCCTCTTTTGGCTAGGGGCCAGAAAGTGAAGGTAAATCTTCCCAATGGGACACAGAAAAATAAAATAACAGGGGTTAATATAACCCTCCATTACTCTATCCAAAAAAAAAAAAAGTGTTGTCTCTAGTTCTACTTTAACTTCATTACACACTCAAATTGTTATATATTTGGCTATACAGGAGTGACTGTGGTTTGGCAACAGTATTTTACTTTAAAAGATATATATATATTGACTGGCTTTTCTAACTATAATTGTGCTTAAAAATAGCGTCTGATTATTTGCATACACAAGCAGTATTTCAGTGTTGATTGGATCACACAATACACGGGCATCTCTAAAAAATACGAAGCAGTAATAATGCTTAACAATATAATAATGAACATGTATTAGGCATCTGCACAATAAAAAAAAATAATAATTAAAGTGATTCTAAACGCTTATTTATTTTATTTATTTATTTATTTTTAAATAACAAACATGTCTATAGTAACCTGCTGTCTGCAGTGGTTTTGCACAGAGCAGCCTGGATCCTCCTCTTCCTGGGTCCCCCACCGGTGCTCCTTGCCCTTCCCTCCTGTCTGGTGCCTCCACAGCAAGCAGCTTGCTATAGGGGCACCCGATGCGCAGTCCCCAGCTGCTGCTCCATGTGTCCATTCACGGAACCGAAGCTTGGCTCTGCCCCCCTCTCTTCACATTGGCTCACTGGCTGTGATTGACAGCAGTGGGAGCCAATGGCTCCCACTGTAGTCTCAGCCAAGAGGAGAGGGAGTCCCAGGATAGCCGAGACTCCAGTGCACATCACTGGATCGAGAGGGGGCTTAGGTGAGTATTAGATTGTACACCCCTTGAGGGTTAGGGGCTGATGTGAATATTGCAATATGTATATACACACATGTAAAGCGCTGTGTAAATTGATGGCACTATATAAGTACCTGTAATAAATAAATAAATATTGGGGGGGTGCTGCACAGAGAGGTTTTTTTTTACCTTCATGCATAGAATGCAACCTTGAGCCTTTAGAACCACTTTAATATCAATGCAACCAGTACTAACAATGGCAAAACCTGCACTTTTTATCATACATACATTATTTTATATAAATATTATATAGTGGGGTTGATTTACTAAAACTGGAGAGTGCAAAATCTGGTGCAGCTTTGCATAGAAACCAATCAGCTTCCAGGTTTTATTGTCAAAGCCTAATTGAAGAAGCTGAAGTTAGAAGCTGATTGGCTACCGTGCACAGCTGCACCAGATTTTGCACTCTCCAGTTACAGTAAATCAACTCCAATATATACCCCTGTGTACACACCTAATAGTATCAGATGCCCAATGGCACAATGCTGGGGTTTGCTGATCTGTGCTGGAGTTGGGTTATGATGTGACAATCCTGAGGTTTTGCAGGATTTATTAATGCTCAAATAATAGACCAAGACATTGATTGCACTAAGATATAGTATAATTTTGCATGGCAGAACAAAGAAAACATAGAAAGAGAGGCAAATGGAAGTGTCTGACATTATCATATATATATATATATATATTAATATATATATATATATATATATCATATATCAATATAATAAATAAATACTGTATAATAATCATAGGACATTCATTGTGTCTGTGGCAAGACCCATGCCCATGAGGACATAGAATATGCAGAAAAAGTCCTGGATTATTTCTTAGATACACAGAATATAACTGGATACTAACATTTATAGGTAAAGTTGATCCAGGGAATATCCGATTGCCTCTCGGGGGATCAGGAAGGAATTTTTTTTCCCAGCAGGAGCAAATGGATCATGCTTTGGTGGGTTTTTTTGCCTTCCTCTGGACCAACTATAGGGTATAGGATTATAACTTTTTTTTTTTTTTATGGTTGAATTGGTTGGACTTTTGTCTTTTTTCAGCCGGACTAACTATGTAACTACATAAGAAACAGCACACAGATAAGCTAAATACTAAACACTTGTAAACTTTTGCTTACTGTGTCTAATAAGTGGGATTTTTGTAAAGGTACTATCCAATACAACACCTGAAAAAGTAATCTCAGACACAAGTGATCCTTCTGGCCTCATGTTGGACCTGTATGACTGACTCTGCAGTCCATGCTGGACGTCAAGAGAAAAAGTTGGCACTTACAGCACAAGTTGTGTTGCTAGTACTGCAGAACGACTTCAAGTATTTAAAAGTATATTGGCACACAAGATTAGACTTTTTTCCAAAATCACTTTGCTGGATATGAATCTCTATCTTTGAATGGTACGTTTCTGGAGTGAAGAGTGAATAGGTTAACACGAAAAATGATGATAAATGTTTCTCGGCTGCAAGGGTCTGAATTCAGAAAGGTTCTGTTTACGAACCTAGAACATTCATCAAAATTTTATCTATTACAAAGGTGCCATTCCTAATGCTCCTTCTCACATATGCTCAGCTGAACAGTCCACAATGTTTTACTAAAAAAAAAAAAAGAAGAAAAAAGAGTGTTGGCTTAAAACTTATGTAGTCTTTAGGTGAGCAGACTTGGTAGGCATGAATATTTTTCAACAATAGATTTGCATTATTGTAGCTCATAGGTTTCTTTTGAAAAACATAAAGATTTTGTATTTTGACATATAAATTATATCTAAAATACTTGCAATGTACTGTAGGTACCTGGCTTTCAAAAGTCTGATCTAATATTAGCAAAAGTGGCCTTGCACTCAAAGTTATAGAGATAAACTAAAACAATGGGGTGCGTTTTCAGAACCCTGCTATATTCTTTACAACAACCATTATTATTAAATCTTGTGTAGTCTTTAGGTGGGTAGACTTGTTAAGCAATAATTTATATATAGAAGTGCAGCGCTAAAAAGTTATCATACATATATAAAAAACACAATGATTAAATGTGAATAAAAATAGTCCAGCAAAGGTGACTTGGAGTAAAAGTGCACACTAACCAGATGTGCACATTAAAAGTGCAATGTAGAGATCATAATGCTCATGGGGTAATCATCAGAGTA